GACATTGGGAGTGTACATGGCGGGGTTTTGAGATTGGACTTTGTTTTTACCTCTTTGGCCATAAGGCACCGATGAGTGAAAGGCTTGTCCTCGTTTGGAGAGTCGAAGAGGCTGGTGGTGGAGGAGGAGGAGGTAGTGGCATGCATGGCAATGGCTGTCGTGCCCACATGGTCATCATCACCGTCATCTTCATCTCCAGACATGTATTCTTCATGGACTAGAACCTTGTCATATTTCCTCTTTGTGAACTTGGCGAACTTCTTCTTCTTGAGAACAAGCTTCTCGGACTTGTCTTCACGTCTCTCATATGGACAATCATGCACAAAGTGTCTTGGGCTATCACAATTGTAGCATTTTCTTCGTCCAAATGATCTTCCTTGAAGATTCTTCCCTTTGTTTGCCATGTTCCCGAAGTATTTTTGACTAAGAGAGCCAAGTCTTCCGCAAAGTCATTTTCCGGGCATGAGGTATCAACATCTTCCTCACAAGTCTCTTCAACCACTTCTTCGTCCCTTGAGGGTTGACTAACAACTTTCTTGGCCTTAAGCAAGATTTGAGTTCTTGGTTGCTTGAGCAATCACAAAGGTCTTCTTGGACTTGGTCAACATGAGTGGAGAAAGTGGAGACAACTTGAGTCACGGTTAACTTGTGATAATCCGGGTGTTGATGTATCATCATCACCATGGAGTGTTCCGTGAGAACCATAGCATCTATAAACTTGTCCTCAATGAAATCACATTTGCCCAAGTGCACGTAAAGGTCCTTAAGTTGAGCACAAGAGACTTCAACCTTCAGAACACCTCTTCCGCGGATTCACCTTCATTCCTCACAATAGATTTACTTCTTGCTTGAGCAAAGCCAACCGAGATCTTCAAATTGCTTCATCACCTTCGAGAGCCTCCTTAAGGCAATCCCAATTTTCATTGGCAGTCTTGAGAAGAGTAATGGAGTCACTATAGTCATCGGTCACCACGGTGCGCAACATGTTGTGGGCAGTTGCATTGAGTTGATCATCAACCGCTTCTCTTGGGGTGAGATTCATCGGGTCTTCGGGATTGAATCCATTGACCACAATCCACCATAGTTGAGTAGAGGACACACTACAAATATGAGACTTCATATCTAGCTTCCACATAGCAAACACGTTAGCTTTCAAAGGGGGCGGAGGCCCAACAGGATTAATGCGAGGGGGTTGGAAAGGTTGGGGTGAGGGGTTCCACGACATTGTACTTGGGAACTTGAGTGTGAGTCGGAGATGCAAGGGGTTCTCTCGAATCATCCGCATCATGAATGGCATTTGGATCAAATGAGTTTGATGCGGATGTCGAGGGCTTTAAGCGAGCATCAATTTCCTCCTTGACTGAGGAACACACTTCTTTCAACATGGCGGTTTTGAAGTCTGCAAACATTGAAAGAATGTTGGCCGCGGTTAAGGGGGCACCCGGGTTAATGGGGGTGACGGGAGCAACGACCGGAGCAACAAGCGCGTCGGTCGCGGCGGGGGTAGGTTTTCACCATCCTCCGTAAGGGCTGCGACACCTCCCACATTCCCTAGGTCGTCCATATCCTCTAAGGTTGTAAAACCTTATATTAGAGCATGAGGCTCTGATACCAATTGAAAGGATCGATACGGTCGACTAGAGGGGGGGGGGTGAATAGGAGACTACAAATTTTAATCTTTCTTGTCAATTTTCGGGTTTGGCGGATAAATAGGGTTCACTAGATATGCAACTAGGTGAACACAACCTATATGACAAGCAAGCTTAAAGCTAAATATGCTAGGCAACAAACTAATTAGCAAGCCCACAAGCATATAAAGCAGAGTAGAGTGCGGGAAAGGATTAACCACAAGTGAGGCGAGGACACAAAATTATCCCGAAGTTCACTCTTCCTTGGGGAAGATCTACTCTCCATTTAGAGCGGTGCTAGAGCCAAAGCTTGCGGAGTGCCACCAAAGGCTCATCGTAATCTCTATCAAGTCACCCCCAACGGATGAGCCTCGAATCACTCAGGGTTGGTCTTGAAGGCGACCACCACACCTTTACAAACTTCTTCGGAGCACACCACAAGCAAGGAAGCTTCCGGAGGAACCTCTAACCGCCTAGGAGCCCAAGCTCCAAAAGTAACAGGTCAATGGTGGATGAATATTATGGGGAACACGATTTGGTTTGGTCAAAGTGTAGATCGGGTCTTGCTCTCCCAACCCCAAAGTTTCAACAAGTTTGGGTGGAGGGATTCAGAGTATTGAGCAAAATGAGGTGTAGCAATGCTGGAGCTCAATAAGACATTAGGGTTAGGGATGGAGGAGGAAGAAGGGGGGATTTTATAGTGTTCTTAGTTGGGTGACCGTTTCTGCCCGTTGGACCCCATGCGCACGGGGTACCCAGGAAGATACGTAGCACCCCGTGCGCACGCACACGGGGTACCCAGGGAGTTACACAGAACCCCGTGTGCACGGGGTACCCAGAAAGTTCCTGACTACCCCGTGCACACTAGGGTCAAAAGACCCCATGCGCACGGGGTATCCAGAAAACTCCTACTGCAACTTCTTGGATATCACACCTAGCACACTATGCGATATAAGGTGGTAGGAGTGGGAAGGCTGGTGTATATGGTTTTGACGAAGGCATTCTCACATGACATAAAGTCCGCAATGACCCCTCTTAATAGTGCGGTTTTTCCTACGACTCAAATCGAACCAAAAAGAATCCTTCGAGTCGCTGGTAAACCATGCCTTTGATCTTTTTGAATTAGGAGGGGGAGGGTGCACACCTCCATCCAAAATAACTTGGAACCAATATCCTGAGATAAGCTTTAGCAACTGATATTAGTTCCACTAACCATATTGTCATCACACCAAAATATAATTTAAGTGACACTTGCACTTTCATGGGGCAAGCCCAACGATGAGGGTATTGTCTAACTATACCTGCCATGGGGTACCCGGCCCGACTGGCCCGACCCGACCCGGGCCGAAAAAGCCCGACCCGGTCTTGCCCGCGGGTCAGGCCTGGGCCTGAGTTTTGAGCCCAAAGCACACGTTGGGCTGGGCCTATGTTTAGCATTTTGCGTTTTAGGTAAGGGGCCCGACCCGAGGCCCGATGGGCTTTATCACAGTCGGGTCGGGCTTGGGCCTAAAAACCAGGCCCGATGGCCGGGCCGGGCTCGGGCCTAGGTTTTCTGCCTCGAGCTTTGTTAGGCCTAGCCCGGCCCGACAGATGGCCAGGTATATGTCCAAGTAGTGGCCCTCCTACATGATGGCACACCCTGCCAGTGGAGTGCCCTACGCCGAGGGGCGCCACCACCAAGGTCGTAGGGTCTACGAGGTCGTCCTGCATAGGTGGCATGGCCAAAGATCAAATCAAAGAGCCCAAGGGAATAAGCTCCAGACCATAGTACCCCTCGTTGTATGTTGTGGCCCAGAGAGTAATCTTGTAATCTCCAACCCTACCCCCAATTTCCTATAAATAGAGGAGACCACCATACATTCAAAGGGTTCAAAATCTGAAATACATGAGAGTTTTGCTCTCTTCCTTGCCATATATGTGTTGGGACCCCTAAAGGGGGGGTGCGCCCCGCGTCAGGCCGTCGATGTACACGAACGCGTGTCTCCGCCTCATGTTTCCCGCGCACCCCGCGTAGGTCTATGTATCCTTACGGGGGTGCCTCAAGTTTATTGCATAGCCTCAATGCTACGACACATTCATTAATTACTCACACATGATCTCAAAACAATTGCAAAGAATCCAATTATCAAGTTCAGTGATATACAAGGCCATGTAATTTTTTATTTATACCACCAATGTGTACCTAACACTCTTAATACCAATATATAATCCATGCAAACAACCAATTGTTATTCAACTCTCTAAAAGGATATAAGTGAAGCAAGAGAGTCCTAATCTGTTCTATAAAAGCATGCTTTCTCGCCGTGTTCACCGGGCATAACCGTTTTCAACCTCCAGTGGGAGCCCTTTACCCCTTGTCTAGGCTCGACAACTTAGCTCTTGGAAGCAATGGCCTTTGCATCTCCGGTGAGGCCGCTACATGTAGTAGGGCTGGATGCAATTTTTGTTTCACTTTTGGGGCCTTGTTTACATAGAAGGAAGCAGATGGTTGTACTGTTTATCCTTTTTGAAAGTCCTTCCGTGTGGGTGTATCAATTTTAATGATTTAATGTTAGTATCTCGAACCTTCGGGTCCCTCCCTTTGTTAAAAAGTGAACAACTTTTTTCATGCCACCGTGCGAACAATCTGTGTTTTACCAGGAACCTTAGAAAAGCTAGAAGATAAGAGGGGCAAAATATTTCCAATTGGTAGAAAGTGTGTGTGCACTCTTACTTCTGATGGCGCTCGCAATGACAAGAGACACCTGTACACCTTTTCACCAAGTAACGTACTCTATAAAAGCAGTAAACACCTACGTTCACGTAAAATACAAGACGTCAGCGCCATGCAAACATACTCTAAAATTTCAAAGTTGTATTACTTTCAAACCGAGCGCCCAAATCAAAATCCGTTGGATCGAAGATCGACGTCGGTTAGGTCATAGATAGCACAAATGCAGTACACTGTTGTGTTTCTTCATGTTGCGGTGTTCAATATTCTTCATAGATTCATATTTAGGTTCCTTCCTTGATGAATTGATGTCCTTTTCTTTCTTATTGTACATGGATACATGGAGTCCATCCTTCTCACTCAGCTTCGAGACTGACAGGTGGGCCTCGGGTCACATAGATCTGGATCTCCCATCCATGGACGGCTCAGATGAATCCACCGGCTATATTATATTATTATTCTGATGACATGCCATTTCCGCACCCAAGCCGAATCTTACGCCTCTGACGTCTCTTCCTCCTCCCCCCCTCCGCTCCCCCCTTGCCTTTTGCAGCTCTGCTTGCTCGCGTCGTGCTGCAATTGAGATCGACTCGTCGGTGGCCGACCCCTCGGCGGCGAGCACCGGGGTTAGGGTTTAGGGGCCTGGATCCATGGCTCGGCCCATGGGATCCAGCGGCTTCGACGCTGCCCTAGCCGTGTGCCCCGCCGCCGCCCAGGCCTACTCCAAGTACTGCGGTGAGCTCCCCCGCTTTCGAATTCGCTTCGTCGTTCCGTTGGTGGGTTTGTCTCGGGCCGGAGCTTCGGAGGTTTCAGGGTTAGAATTGCTCGTATCCGTGCCGACTTGGTGGTTTAGACTTCAGAGATCAAAGATTACGAATTTTAGGAGTCTTTTGGTGACGGACTCATCTTTTCTGCATTTGCGTGATCTTTAAGAAATTCTGATAGGAGAAAAGAAGTGGCCTTTGGGTTTATCCTTTGGCCAATTGTCTGGTTTCTTGTGAGCGTCTTTAGAGGTTGCTGGCTTCTCGCTTCTAGGGTATAAATTCGCAAAAAAAGAGCTAAACGTGTATCAGGCAAATGCTCGAGGCTGAAATCACAATTCTGCTATTTTTTAGATATATCCTGGAACAATTCAATTAGGTTGTATTTCCTTAATAACCGAACGCAGAATCATTTGTCAGAATCAAGTTAGCAAATCTTCATATATATGCTCAGCATATCCTACATGATATTCTAATTCTTTTTATGCATGAGGTTACTTGCATATGTTTCTTTATATGCTGTCTCAAGTCCATTGTTGTTCTGTTCGTTGCTTGCTAGGTATTGTATCCGGATGCACAAATGCGAACCCAAGGGAAGGGTTGGCGGATCTTTCACGAACTATAGATAATATGGAAGGAATGAGGTAAAAGCTGTTTTGCCCTATTGTAGTATTTGATGTTTGTTTACTACAAAAGAGACATTTATTAAAACAAGTTAATCGGAGTGTAGTTCATACTTGTATTGTGTCTTTTATGCTACTCACTGAAAATTTGATGTTTGTTTACTACAAAAGTGACATTTGTTAAACCAAATTAGTTACAATGTGGTTCATACTTGTATTGTGTCTTTTATGCTACTCACTGAAAATTTGATGTTTGTTTACTACAAAAGTGACATTTGTTAAACCAAATTAGTTACAATGTGGTTCATACTTGTATTGTGTCTTTTATGCTACTCACTGAAAATTTGATGTTTGTTTACTACAAAAGTGACATTTGTTAAAACAGATTAATCACAATGTAGTTCATAACTTGTATTGTGTCTTTATGCTACTCACTGAAAAAGACTTTCTCAAAAGCTTCTTGCCTAATTACATAAAGAGTTGAAACATTGTCGAGGATGACCCGACTAAGATTGGGTAATATATGTTGCATACTTATACATAGTTGTTCTGTACCTGTCTGTTGTTACTGTAAATTTAGAGCTTGAGCTCATTTTCATGTGTTAACGTGTATAGCACGTGATTGTTTGACCGCTTCTATTGTAATTATTAGAAATAGCAATGGCACGCTTTCAGTTACACACATCCATAACCTACCCATGGCAAATACACTCACATAATTCCATGCATAAGAAAATTCTGTTTTCTTTATTTTAATTTTTATGTGTCATATTCTGTTTTCTTATATTCTTTCTACCCTTTGGCTGACTACATACTCTATTACTTATGTAGGGATGGAATATTTGGTGATATTCACAAGCTCATGTCAGTTCTTGAGTTCGTAAGAGGCACTTCCCAAGCAGATTATGCATTTTTCAAATGCTTCTCAATACGTTATGCTAATCTATGACCCCTTTTATTAGGATGATGTGAGCCAATTCAATTCCTTCTATGATTTTGTCTTCTTCATTTCTCGTGAAAATGGCCAAAAGAATATTAGTAAGCCCTGTTTCCTTGATCGCGCCCATACATGCTGCTGTGTCATTTTTTACATCCCAATAAGACTAACCGGGTGTTGCTTTTCATGATTTAGCTGTTCAGAAGGCTCTTGCAGCATGGAGGATAGTTCTTGTTGGAAGGTTCCGATTGCTTGACCGGTGGTGTAACTTTGTTGAGGTACGGAAATTACTGGTTAACAATTATATGCAAATGTCTATAATTTCATCTCAGACAAATTTCATTACTTTATTCTTTTATGATGACTGCTTCTGCAGTATTGCTGGTGCTTTCGTTCTTCATATAGTTTTAGTGAGAGCAGTAAAAGTGTGGGCTGAATTATGCGTTGTATACCTTTATTATTCCCCAGAAAATATACAAATTTCAGCTATCTTCCCATTGGATCAACAAACAAGCTCTTTAAGAAGAATATGTGATCATGAAGGGATGTCCACTTGACATTAGTCCAGTCAACTTCATTGAGTTCCATTGCAGATTTGCAGTAAGGGTGCAAACAGACATGGGCAACCCGCTAAACAGCTAGGCCGTGCAGCAACAATGCCTGCAATTGTCTGGCAACTTACTGCATATCCCGCAAGAGAACGCTCTCCCTTTGATCCCTTTGGTATTGTCGAACAATGCTAGCTTAGTTATACTGAGATTTTCCGTGTGCACCAATCTAGCAGGCCTATGCGGGGGTTGCCGCATCCGTCGCAGTGGCTCAGATCAATCCTAGCAATCTGTAGTGGACAAACGCATTGTCCACTCTAATCATTGGTGGACACTTCTGGTGTAGGGCGGGTAGCTGCAACTCCCGCTGCTTGCACCCTTACATTGCAGTGGTGTTGAGTCTAGAGTTGATGGTTTGGTACATGATGGTAAATAGATCTATCAACATCTCATTGAACATGCCAAGTGTCTTGTTTTCTAGTAACGCCCAATACTTTCTTAGAAAATCTCAACTTGTATTTCATATCACTAGTAATAATGTACGCGCAATGCGCGTTTATATTAGGTAGGATATTAGTTGCACGCTATATTAGGTAAGATATATCTGTTGCACGTTGGTATTTGGTAAGATATCAATTACTTTTTTCACGGGAAGGTAGGATATTAATTACATGGCAGATTTCATGGGATAGCGTTGAGTCAAAACGTGTTTATAACCAATGGCAGTGGTGGGTAATTAGAGCGTTAAACGTGTTTGGTGCTCAACATTGAAGCGATTTGAACCGCTAGACAACATGATTTGACGGTCGAGGTGGTTTGGATATTGGAATAGATATAGATGAAGAGAATGGCATTGGCATAATCTGCTATCTCCCTGTTTCCATGACGTGTCAATACGAACTTTATGACATGTTCTAGTTTTGGGGCTCTTCATTTTACTTTTGAGACTAGAATGTTTGCTTTCGACTATAACTCAATAAATTTATCTATTATAAAATCCTTAACTCCATAAAAGGGGCACTCCAGACATTATCATGTAATATTAGCTTATCTGTATCTTTGCCTTCCTCAGAAGTACCAACGTCACAACATTTCTGAGGACGCCTGGCAGCAGCTACTAGCTTTCAGCAGGTGTGTAAACGAGGATCTGGAAGGTTATGATCCAAAAGGTACAATTACATTTCTTATATATGGCTCCTTCTGGATTTTTGATCCTGTCCGCAACTTCCTTAATGGATTTACCTTGATACTGATTACTGTTTGTCTGTGTATATTTCTCAGGTGCTTGGCCTGTCATAATTGATGATTTTGTGGAGCACATGCACAGGTTTGTCTTCCTTGCCTATATACACTTTTGGAATGCTTGCAGTTTAGTTGATTGCCTTTATTCCATGGCTGAACCTAAACCATGGCCATTCAGTTTCCTGCTGTGGACTTGTCAAATTCTTTCCTAATAAAGTTTGTAGTTGGCGAGTTCACTCCTCTCCATTCATACGTTACTCACATGTGGGACCAACAACCTTGGAAAGGGCACAAATAAACAAATAGACTCATGCTCACATGTGGGGCTAACACACTTGCAAATGGCACCAATATACAAATGCACTCTTTACATGTGGGACCGGCACTCTTGCAAAAACACAAATAACTAAATGCTCTTACTCTCGTGTGAGACCAACACTCTTGCAGAAGGCACGAGTAAACAAATGTGGGATTGTGG